TTACTCGTATATTGTTATTGCATTGGATTAGTTCTCGTTGTATTCTCTAAATTCAGCAATAACTCTAAGAAAGTAACAAAATATTTTTAATGATCAAACTTATGTATATTTTTTCTCCCTATAGGTTACTACTTTGATTTTGAACAAAGATTTTATCAACAGTGAGCTTATTATATTTGTGAGTATCGTTTTTAAGAATATTACAGTTTATGGCTCAATGCGCTATTTAATTTTCGAGCCGCATAAATTGAAGTGATCGGACCGAACAAATCGAAATAGAAAATAGAAAAATCAAACGATATTAAATTTAATTAGGTATGGTATTTGTATCGCATTTTTATAAATTAAATATTAAAAATACCGAATCTGTTATAAAATAATAAAAGAAGAAGAAAAGTATTGCATAGAAAAGTAGGGAGAGAGAATTCTTATTGATTTGGGATCAATTACAATGCAATATAACCCTCTATTTATAGGGAGAGAGTGACTTAGCCACTAATAAACCCTAGAATCTCTCTAAATATAGACATTCACCATAAATAAAATTCTATTTATAACACTCCCTCTGAATGTCTATTCAACAGATAATGTGCCTCATTAAAACCTTAATTAAAATAAAATCCAGTGGGAAAAAAATTCTAGAAAAGGAAAAAGAGTACACATATTTAGAAATGCGCCTTTTGGTTGCCTCGTTAAAAACCCAGTAGGACAAAACCTTGTAAGGAAAAAAGAGTGAAACGCGTATTAACTCCCCCTGATAAGAGCATCAATTCATATCCTTGAGTCTTCGCATCCCAATCTTGTTCACTAGCTTCCTGAAGGTTGACGTCGGCAGAGATTTGGTAAATAAATCACTCATATTAACTCTGATGAAATGTTGCACCTTGAAAATTCTCGTTATCACATTATCATGCTTATAATTATAGCAAGATACGTATGTGCATAAATAGCACTTAGGATATGGTACTTCAGGACGAATAATTGTATATGCTTTAAGCAATTTAAATCCTTCGTGGATTGTCATATAAGTATAGTCATATAAGCCATTTAATAGACTTTAGATGCATATCAATTTTTCATGTCATGCTAGACATATAAGATAAATAAAAGTGATTGCACATACCATTGACTTTATACTTTCAAGTGTTTGAACTACAGGTCCAAAACTATATGTCTTTCGTATGGAATCAATTTCTATTCGAAATTGTTTCTCCAGACTTAATATCCTCATATATATTTAGCGCTATCATAGATGTCGACGACGAACATTTTATATCGGTTCCAATCTCCTTATTTTTCATAAAGACATAACATAGAGATCTCTTCATTCATATATTCAGGTACCTGAACCTCTCTTGAGATTTTATGAAGTGTTATGTCATGTGATCTTTTAGATCACTTGCCTCCTTATTATGATCATTTTGATCATTTGCTCGTCTTCTTTATTAAGAAGTTTATTTGAAACTGATTTGTCTATACGCCTTAAGCGTACCACAGACTTTGTCCTTCTAGGATATATTCTTGTAGGAGCATTTTCAGTGAGAATACAGCTACTTTCTTTGGGTCAGCAAATGCATCTGGCATGCTTTGCAATATATTGCACATGGATTATCTTTTTATGAACTTCAAATTCATATTATCTTATTCGAGGATCTAGATGTACACATGATAATTCATTCCACGTAACTTTTTCTCAATTGTTTGTCATATCTTCCCCTTATGTTAGAAAAACTAACTTGTTTTCTCAACTTTGAGAACTCATTTTTGTGCGTTATGGTATTAATCAAAATATATCCCGCACATCAATAATAATAATATGAATTATTTGGTTCCTGACCCTAAACCACTTGTAAGGGGAGAATGTAATATACTTTCATATATGACCTATATCAAACTGATATAGATAACTTTGTTCTCATAAACAATTATTTAGCTATTAAGTGGAGACACTCAATAAATTATTTTGCTAAACCAACTGTGATGTAAACCAACTTGTCAAAATGAACTATCTTGAATAAAAAATCTGGAAATTATGCTCTAAATCAAATTATTGAGCAGTTACCTCGCAAACAACAGGTTGCAGGTTAATAATAGTCACACATGTAACTATCTCATAGATGCATCTTATGTGGTGTAAACCAACAGTGATGTAAACCAACTTGTCAAAATAAATTATCTTGAATAAAAAAAATCTGGAAATTATGCTCTAAATCAAATTATTGAGCAGTTACCTCGCAAATAACAGGTTGCAGGTTAATAATAGTCGCACATGTAACTATCTCATAGATGCATCTTATGTGATATACATGGCAAGTGAATGAGCCCATATTCACCTTTGATATTTTCAGCATTCATGGGATTCAATCCCAATTTTATAAGTTGGTCAATTAATTAATGTGAACAAGCAATATAAGAGAATTTGTAAAGAACTTTCTAGTCATTTAATATCTACCCATGTAAATTCTCTTTTATTTTTGTACATCATACTTAAATTAATATGGCTAAACTAATTATGCCAACTGAATAAATTATCAATATTGATAAAATTCAGATTTACACCATGACATGTGCAATTATCAATAAACTCCAAGTTTATTATGATATGAGTTTTTATATCAATAAACATCCACTTTATTGTGGTATTCTTTTATTTGTGTAGTACAAACTGGAGAATAAAGTAGGTAGCTCTTCATATATATATATTACCCCGTTACAAGTTGTAGTAATAGAAAATATCAAATCTTTTCTTTATTTATAGTCTCAATATAACCAATCGCTTTCGCAAATAGTTTAGAAACTGAATAAATTTTTTTGAGACTTACTACAACACAACAAATTGACATGATGATCAATTGTATTCCTCCAAAATAGTAATAATTGGCTCTTCCAGAGCTCTCAATTAATTTGTACTATCACATATTCATCAACATCCATATGGTGAATATCTCTTTTAAAGAGAAAGTTATACCATTATGGTTGTGGTCAAAATTATATGCGAGATATGTTTCTTGCATTAATGTTATTCTTTAATAATCACATTACCAAAATATTTTGGCGTGCAATAGGTACGTGACCAATGACCATTCATGACATAATAATGACATTATTTTCTTATATCATCTCAAACCTCCTTCTAGGATGAGTGTGGTATATTCACTACCACTAGTACGTTCATATTCTTCCAAGAATGAATATGTATTCATAAGTCAGATGTTGTCACATTCACATCATGAATGGATCATAATCATCTATATGTGCTTTACAAAATCTCATGTCAAATTGATGACAAATATTACTTTCACAAAATGAAGGATTATTTTGAGAATCCTTATTGTTCTCATTACCACAATGATGACGATTATAATTCGTCTATTGCCACGTCCACATCCATTGATACATTTATAGTAATAATTTTGTCTTCTTTCAGACTTATCACATACTGCTATCGCATTCTTTTAAGGGAATAAGAATGAAGCAAATTCAATGAGACGGGTTTTTAATTATTTGCCCACGACCATACATGAATTTGATCATGACAAGGCATAGAAATTTTAGCACTTTGGCTGGTTATAATTTCTTTCAAACTCTATTAGAGTTATAATCAAAGTTTATTGTCTTTGCTTGTATTTAAAATCAAATTATAGAATAAAAGAGAAAAATAGGGTAAAACACTTACTTTAAATCAAGAATTTAATCATGAAGGAAGTTCATGGAACAATTGACATTCATTATGCTCAAACTCAAAGCTTCTACTCAATTTATTAGAGTCTCGTGCTGATAACATGTTATAAAATAATAAAAGAAGAAGAAAAGTATTGCAGACAAAATTCTTATTGATTTGGGATCAATTACAACAGAATATAACCCTTTATTTACAGGGAGAGAGTGATTTAACCATCAAATAATAAACCCTAAAATATCTCTAAATATAGACATTCACCATAAATAAAATTCTATTTATAAAATATTGAAATATCATATCGCATTAACCGAGAAACACCCCTAAGTCAGGTAGATGCTTAGATACTTGTGATATTTTCTATGATTTCAAGTGTTGGTTTTCGAGAAATACTGAAAAAAAGGACAAACATCCCTTGCGAAACTCATAAAAAATTCCTTTTTAAGTTTGAGCATGACACGTAATTAGACGTGCAGTTAATTATTTTTAAATTGGAAATAGATAAGAAAAACGTGAGTTTTTTTAAAAAAAGAATCCTTCTTAATTATCACCCAAAATAGAGTCATAATTTGAAGTATATGTATTATGAATTTTTGATTAAATTTATAACTCATTTTATTTACTGGATCCATAATTAAATTGTTTTATATATATTTAATAATTTTTTAATAAAAATATAAAATTTTAATAAAAACTACTAAGGTCGTACGAAACTATAGATAATATTGTAGCTCCCCAGCAAAATAATGATATCTGCTTAACCAATCAGGATTGTGATAGAGTGGTAAATATTCCTTCATTCTTAATCAGGTTGTTCGACGTTTGAATATAAAATTATCTTTGTTAGGGAATTCTTTATCCCCAATCATGCATTGAAGGATGGTCAATCGAACATCCTTCATCGAAAAATTATACCATATATATAAAAACTTATATTATGTATCTAGGTCAAAAAAAATTCTTTTTTTATATGTAGATATTAAATTTTCAATATCCTTCGAGAAATTTTTAACTTCGTCATTGTCCCAATATGGTATTTTTCGGTACGAGTTATCGGATCCCAATACGACCCAACAAAAAAAAAGATAGGTGCGTGACTTACTTTAGCCTTTAAAACGGGCTTTATCCCATTTTAGACCGACAAAAACCACTTCAGCTGCGGCAACTCCAAAGTGAACAGTGGTGAGTAACAATGTTCTCAGATCAAAATCTGTTTCAATTCATCGTCTTCTTTATTCTCCTTATGTCAATACCCACTTTCATCTTAAGCCAATTCTTAACTTCTCCCTATGGCAAACATTACCGTTCAAATTCAGGAACCACAATTTCATCACCTTTTGCATGGTTTCTAATGGAAAGTCCAACACTTTGGCTTACAATTCTCCTCTTTCCTTTTGGTAAAAATCACACAAACCCTTTAGCCTATATTCTCATTTCTCCTTTCCTTTTACATTACGTTAATCGTACAATTATTTACCCAATTAAACTCTCCCAAAAAACCACTAATGGTAATTTTCCATTGCATATTGCTTTGACAGGTTTTGTTTATAATATTTTGAATGCTTATATACAAACTAGATGGGTGTCTCATTATGCTAATTATGATGTTGATAAGTGGTTTTGGTTTAGGTTTGTTGGTGGGATTGTTGTGTTTGCAATTGGTATGATGATGAATGTTTGGGCCGATGGAGTGTTAATGGGCCTGAAAAGTCAAGGTGGCGGATATAAGATTCCGAGAAATGGGCTTTTTGAATATGTGAGCAGCCCAAATTATTTGGGTGAAGTGATGGAGTGGTTGGGCTGGGCTTTGATGACATGGTCTTGGGCTGGGCTTGCTTTTTTCGTTTACACTTGCTCTAACTTGGTTCCGAGGGCTGTTTCGAATCATAAGTGGTATTTGGAGAAATTTGGGGAAGATTATCCTAAGAATAGAAAAGCTGTTTTTCCATTTTTGTACTAAGATATTTTATGTATATCTTGTTGCGTCTTTGTGATTATGCAATGCAAAAACTATTCCTGCTTTTAATATTTCTCAAGCATAATGTGTTTTTATCTTCTGCTACATTTCTTTCTCTATGCTATTGTGATCATGCATGTTTGTTTTGAGCCGATGGTCTATCGGAAACAACTTCTTCACTTGAACAGGGTAGGGATGAACCTGCAGACTTAGTACCCTCTCAGACCCCCACTTATAGAATTGCACTAAGTATGTTGTTATTGTTAAACAACACCAACAATCCAACATACCTAGTGATTCCCACAAGTAGGGTCTGGGGAAGGTAGTGATTACCCTCACCTTAGTAGGATAGAGAGGCTATTTTTGGTAAATCCTTGGCTAAAAAAAATTAGAAACAAAGCAGTAACAACAACAAGATATTAGAAAAAATAAACTCAAAGATAACAATCAAACAGTAAATAGTAATATATAGCAATTTAAGAATTAAAGTATACCATACTAACACTAATATTACTGGTACGAGGATGGAAAAGAGAGTCGCTCAACTGAAAAACTTATGTTGTCATTGTTGTAATGTGTTTTTATCTTTGAAATAAATTTCATCCCTTGGCACCAGCTCAAACTTAGAAAGTAGTAAGAGAATAATTATTGCATGTATGTAGGAAATGATCCCATGGGTATAAGATTTTCGGCAGATTTTCCTAATTTGAAGTTTGAAGTATTAGCAAGTAGTAGAGAACCTACCATATTTAAAGTTTTAGCAAACGCAGCTCACAATTTGTATTTCATTATGATATTAAATGACAAAGTAAAGAAAGTTGCAGAGGACATACAGTTGTATAGAGAAGGAGGATCCAATACATTTGCAAACTCAATGGCATTGTAATAGTAATTTGGTGAATTTACTGCAAACATAAAGTGAAAACTAACTAGTAGATTTTGTCCCTATTATATGAATTCGATTACAATATGATACACAATTCGTTGAATGTTATTTCTAGTAGATTTTCTCTCTATTACTTGAATACGACTACAATATGATTGATAATTCAGCATGAACACAAACTAATTTATTAAGGGGTGTCAAAATATGATTCAATGATGAACACAAACTTTATTAAGGGGTGTCAAAATATGATTCAATGATGAATACAAACTTTATTAAGGGACGTCAAAAAATGATTCACAACTCAACGATGAAGACTGTCACACCTCCTTTTTCACACCTCCGAGAAGGGTATGAGGGAGTTTTTCCCAATTTAAGTGACAATCGAAACAGAATTATTTTTTTAAAGTTCAGAGACGCCACTTGGGATGATTTATGGTGTCCCAAGTCACCGGTTGAAATCCCGAATCGAGGAAGGTTTTGACTCTAATTATGATCTGCGAACACAGAAATCCAGGTAAGAAATTCTATTAACCCGAGAGAAGGTGTTAGGCATTCCCGGATTTCGTGATTTTAGCACGGTTGCTCAATTATTATTATTGACCTAATTATCTAATTTTAAAATATTTTTAAACCTATGTGCATTTTTAACTTTAAAACCGCTTTTATTTATTTAAGGAATTATTTCAAGGTTATTTAAAATACATCGCAAGCCACGCTACATGAAATGCACCCGTGATTCATGACACGTTCTATTTAACCTTGTTAGAAATTAGAACTGGGTCACATGAAATGTACACCCGGATTTAATAATAGCCATGATAATTATATAATTAACGCGCCTAAAGCAACCTACGAAGTTCATTTTTAATATCTAAATTATAACATTTGTGAGGGCCATGAGTGATTTAATTAGGATGGCATACCTCAATCCATTCTTTCTTTAAGAAATTATACTTAATTAAAGTCATCGAAAGATGTTTGGATTCTTATCTAAATTAAATCTATCTAACATGACTATAAGCAGCCTACGCAAAATACCATACTAGCCTAACGTTTAGGGGGAAGGGGCGAGTTCCAAACTTGCAGTAACAACAAACAACATTTTAAAGGGGAATTGGGCTCAAGGGAAAACCCAAAGCTGAAACTAAAGTGCCGGAAGTCTTAAGGGCTAAGCTGGGCCAGACACAAAGCCCAAATATGAGAATCACTGTGGCTATTCAAAGAAAATTTCAGTATATTATCAACTAATGATCGAAATAAGTACTAAACAAAGTGTAAGGGAAACAAATGACCAATATCAATCTGAAACACCTCAGCTGAAGACTAGGCCACTTAAATCTGGGCCCAATGCTATAATGTACTCAGTAATTATTTTGGGGAACAAACTGTGTGCTTTCGGAGGTTGGGCTCAAGGTAGAGCCCAAAAGAAAATTCATCAAAATTCCAAATGGCCCCATTTGGACCTAATTCAACTTCTCAAAAACGTGGCAGGAATGTGTTGAGAATTAAGGCCCTACTGAGGCCATAAACAATCACCATTCACACGAAAGAACATCATATACAATTCCCAAATATACAGCGACAACAATGATATTACAGACCTCGAATTGTTACTGCTACTAATGCTACAACATGAACTCGGACCATTTAAACTATTTATCAACTATACTAATACAAACACGATCTGTTCTATCAAGTTAAAGCCCAGAAAACATATACATGCTGAACATTGTATTTTAAACATATTAGAGCCAGATTTTACATACCCCACAGTGGTAAGCTTTCAGCCCCTTCTAAAGAGCATTTCCCATTAAACACATAACCCTTAAACACACCCTATGAAAAGTCATACTACTACAGTAGACTGAAGCTTCAAACAAATCTCCCAAAGCAACTTAAAGGCACAAATACCTCCCACACACCTTACAATACAGTTCAAGCTCAAAACACACATCTATTACGTACCAATTTTAGCTAATTTCTAACATACTAAAAAACAAAATGGGGAAGGGAAGGAAACAGAAATACAATAAATTCCAACATCATGGAATCGATCTCTAGCAGAGCAAACAGGCATCTACTGAGTGGCAATAGCCAACAAACTCTAAAGCTTCAAGTGTATTATTCACATGGCCATAGGGATTCAGCTTACATACCTGGATATAAACCAAAAACAGCCACAGAACTTCAGCAAGAAAATAGTAATATCACCAGAGTTTAAAACAACAACAAGCAGCAACTATCAATCAGCTTTAACCATGTTTTGAACCCAGAAAAAGAACAACAATATACTCAAGTTTTTAAAACCCAAGAAAGATGAAAACCATCTGCAATGGAAGAGTATTTGTGATTTTTTTTTGTATTTTTCTTTCTAATTTTTGAAACTCTATCAGTGTGTGTGTATTCTTTAGTGTTTTAGGTGCAGAGAATAGTATTTTTAAAATCTCCTTCTTTAGAGTGAGGGAAAGGGTTCTATATATAGGTGCTCACTCTCCATGTGCTACTAAGGAATTTTTGAATCAAATCTCTGCTGCCCACCCTAAATTTCAGGAAAAAAACATCTTTCAAAACTGATTTCTGTACAGCTGTCAGATATTTTTATTTTTCAGCCTTTTATCCTAACAATTTTGGGCAGCTGTCCATTTTAAGAAGTTTCCATTTAGTTACTAAAGATTCTCCCAAGTTAAAATGCCCAAATTACCCCCTTAAATTCCTAGTTATTCAATTAACCCCTTGAAAGTTTATACTATCCCCAAATCAGGACTAACACATTTAGGCAAAGAACATATCGAAATTCAGATTGAACAAACAATAGTCATTAAGCATTTGAACCTTTTAAGCTAACCAAAACAAAACAATTCAGCAAACAGAAGCATTTACATCTAAAACCAAACGATTTTCAAATTGTTCAAGCTTATTGAAGCTACGAGATGAAAGACCTAACAAAAATTAAACTAGACTAAACATGCAAATTGAGTAAGGAAACAAATACGAAAGGAAAGATTAACCAAGGACCTATAAGAAATCAGAAGGAACAAAATCCAGGTTCAGAAGATTTTTCATCAATGAACTCTGAATTAACCTAAGAACAGAATTAAACCCTTACAATTCAGAAAAGAGAGGAAAAGAAATACCCTCCGAACAATGAAAACTCTGGACTTCGAATACATTTGGTCCGGTCAGAGGCGAATCAACTAAATCCCGGCGACTCCGAAATGAGTTTAAACTTACATTAACCAATAGCTCTTAACAAAAGCCATTGGCTAATGTCAGTTTCAGACTCAAAACATGCTCAAATCGACGGAGAAATCAAATAAAAGACATGATATTCTTGACCATTTTTAAATCTAAAATATGTGACTTTTGGATCAATCGAAAGACATGGTCACGAGATAGATGATGAGAGGGGAAGGTAGTGATTACATGGTGTCGATTTTAGTAGTTTGGAAGAGGTTGGGTGAATTAGGGCTTGGCCCCAGATGTGGATTTGGCGAGTTTGGGCGGTGATTTAAAGGAAGCTATTTTTGGGTTTGAACAGAGGGGGAAAGGGTAATGGTGTGGTAAGAATTTTAGGGTTATTTGAGGTGTTGCCGCCGGCCGGTGGGGATTTGGAATTTAAGGGCGGTAGATCTCTAGGGTTTGGGGTGAGGCAGACGGATTGGGGATTTGACTGGGGGGAACCGGTTAGGACATACATGTATTGGAATAAATCAGTTCCCAGCCGTTGGATCACACAAGATCAACGTCTGGGATTCGCTTGAAAGAAACGACGTCGTTTGGTTAAGTGGGGTAAGACCTGGACCAGGTAAATTGGTTTCGGGTTAGGTTTGGGGCTGACCTGGGGTTGGATTTGGGCTCAAACGATTTGGCCCAATTTTGGGGCCAAGTTAGACCCTTTTTAATTCTTTTCTCTTTCTTTTTTTTCCCTTTTTTTTTCCTTTAATTAACTAAAATCCTAAATTACATATCAAATTAATCTAATTTGCAAGGTTAATCTAATTATCTAATTGTAATATTTACAAAATTAGTTGATCCTAAATTAAAGAAAAGAAAATTACTAAATTAGAATTAAAAGACTAAAAATGCAAAAGTAAGCCAATTTTTATGATTTTTGTTTTTTTAATAAAGCAACTAATTCACTAATTAACCTAAAATGTAAAAATAAATCCTAAATGCA